CTGATCAACCTTATTCATCATTGACCAAGACTACAGACTTGTCTTTGGATAATTGAACACATTAAACATTAACATTAAAATTGTGAGGAAGCAGTTAGCTTAGCTTAGCTTAGCATAAATACTGGACGCTGTTAGTCGTGCTCTGACCTGCTGTGGAGTGATTTTGGTTTTTGGTTCCTGTTCTCAAAGTTTTGGTTTTGTGTTCTCTGTTTAGTCTATTGTTCCTGACCCTTTTCATTCTGTGCTCTCTGTCTTGCCTTGGTCCTGTCTGGTATGCATGCCGTTCGTGTCTTCTGTTAACTTTGTCAAGTCTGTCCTTGAGTATTGTCGCATGCATTACTTCCTGTTTTACTTTGCTATCCTCCTAGTGTCTGGTGATCGTGTCTAGCTTTGTTCCTGTTCTGTCTAGTTTGTCTGTCTGCTTGTTCTTATGATCATTTTGGTATTTTCTTTATTCTGATCTGTTCAATTTTAGTTTCATGTCTGATTTGCCTTCCTGTTTCACTCTACCTCCTGTGTGCCTGCTGTGCCTGATTAGTCCCTCATGTCGTTCACCTGTGCATCTCCTGCTCGTTTGTTCCTGTATTTAATGTGCTCAGTTCTGTTTAGTCCTTGTGCATCCTCGTGTAATGTTGAGTGTTCTGTCCTGCCACTGTATTTTGGATTAATCTGTTTCTGGATTTCTGAGCCTTTGTTGGATTTACCCCTGTGTTTGGACTCTCGCCTGCCTGTGCTCGGTCGTGAGCCTGTTTTTGTTTATTTAATTAAATTCCTTGAACTGCACCCTCTTTGCTAGTATCTGCATTTGGATCCACACCTCAGTTTGTTTGGCGTTGCACTCAGCCTTTCCATGACAGAGGCAGGGGAAACCGCGAACCTTGGTTCTGTTCATTTACATTACATTAAATTTACTCATTTGGCACTTTTATCCACAGCGACTTACATTTAAGGAACAACATACAAGCATCAATAAAGCAAGAGATCTACAAGTGACAATAGATACTAGTAAGAGTTAACAGCACATCCAGCGTCCAAAGTTAATAAATAAAGAGCAGCTGTACCTCTCGTCCTGTTGGTCTGATGGCTGTTTGTCAATAACTGAGGTCTTTTGTTCCTCTCACTGCTGAGTAGACTGCAGCTGAATAACACTCTGGAAGACAAAATGCATACAAATTACATTACTGCAGGTACAACAACTGTACTGTTAGTAGATTCACTGCTGTACTACTAATTCTGCAACACTCAATAATGACAAAATAATTTTATTTTTTATGTAGAATTACAATAACTTTTAAACTTTATGTGGTGGTGGAAAGTGTTTTGATGTTTCTTTTTACGATATTAGTTATTGACAGCAGCGCAGCCAATAACTGACACAAGATATGCCCATAGCAACATAAATGTTACGACCCATGAGGTCTGGGTGCTATAGTTGTGTTACTTTGGGTGTGTCTGTCTCTCCCCCGCAGATGTGTACGTGCAGCCTGCTGAGTGACGCTGGGTGGAGCTCACAGCTGGGGCCGATAAAGGCCAATTAGTAGGCTATGTAAGCCGGGCCAGTTGAGTGCTCGTGGTGTGGTGGTCGCCTCACTTCTCGCTCGTCATCGGCTTAATCCCTGTCTGTCAGTGGTTATTCACATTAGTCTGGGTAACGTACTGTGCGACTTACTGTATTGTTTACGGTGTGTTTTACTGTTTTACTAAGTGACCGGCGGTTTGCCACCTGCAACCTCTCCGCGCTCAGTAGGGCCAGAGGCCCCGTGGAGGCAGCTGTCGGTTCAGCGTCCCCGGGCAGTGGAAGCCGGTGTGGTGAGCGGCGGGTGCCCTCCATGCGTGCTTCCCGACGCGGTGGCGGTGGGGACTGTGTGGTCAGCTGGGTGGTACTTTATGTTATTTAGATACCTCGTATAATTTACATTTATATTTGTCTCTCGTGTAAGCAGAGATTGCTTTTTGTTTTGCCCTCTTTTCTAAGAATAAATACGTTTACTTGACACATGTTTTTCCACCCGGGTTATTAATCTTTTGTTCGTCCCCCACCCCTAGATAAGCCGGGGACGTAACAATAAATTAAGCAAATGACCGTCCTCCAATCTGATGCCTGAAGCCGAGTCAGTCGGTGGAAGATTAGGGACACCTGACGTCGTAGACAATGATGAATGCGGGAACTCAAGACACAGGCTTTCAGCCGCCAACAAATTCAGTAAGATCTCTTCTTCAAAATCCATTTGAGAGGAGAACTTTGGTGGAGAAACTACATGTCAAAGATCTTGGCCCAGACCAAGCTGACATCAAAATCAGTCTACAGGCTAGCGAGAAAGTTAAAACGTACGTACATGCTCTGCAATTCAATTCAATTTCAATTCAGTTTTATTTATATAGCGCCAAATCACAACAACAGTTATCTCACAGCGCTTTTCATAAAAGAGCAGGTCTAGACCGTACTCTGTGATGTTATTTATAGAAGCCCAACAGTTCCCACCAAGAGCAAGCACTAGGCGACAGAGGCAAGGAAAAACTTCCTTTTGAGAGGCAGAAACCTCGAGCAGAACCATGGCTCAGGGTGGGCGGCCATCTGCCTCGACCGGTTGGGGTGAAGGAGAGAGAGAGAGAGAGAGAGAGAGAGAGAGAGATGTAAGGAGAGGGGGGGAGGCAGCCTACACAATATACACACAGAGGTACAGACAGTAAAGGTAATGTTGCTATAGACAGAATGAAAAATGGTACAGATATTTATAATAGTGTTAATGGTAACCATCGTAATGTTAATGATTATAATAACAATAATAACAATAAGACTAGCAAAAATAGTCGTTGCAGCAGAGGGTGTCGAGCAGGAACACGGGGGCAGCAGGTGACCCGCAGCCACAGCTCCAGACTCCACAGCTCCAGAGCCAGAAAACCTGCAGGAAGTGATAGGAGAGAGGAGAGGGACGAGAAAGCACAAGACTACCAGAAAGGGGAGAAGTTGTGTTAGTAACATGCAATAATGGGATAAGGTTGCATACAGAGGGAGAGAAAGTAGAGGAGAGAGGAGCTCAGTGCATCATGGGAAATCCCCCGGCAGTCTAGGCCTATAGCAGCATAACTAAGGGATGGTTCAGGACTACCTGAGCCAGCCCTAACTATAAGCTTTATCAAAGAGGAAAGTCTTAAGCCTACTCTTAAATGTGGAGATGGTGTCTGCCTCCTGAACCCAAACTGGAACCTGGTTCCACAGGAGAGGAGCTTGATAGCTGAACGCTCTGGCTCCTAGTCTACTTTTGGAGACTCTAGGAACCACAAGTAACCCTGCATTCTGGGAGCGCAGTGCTCTGGTGGGGTAGTAAGGTACTATGAGCTCTTTAAGATAAGATGGTGCCTGACCATTAAGAGCTTTGTAGGTAAGAAGAATGATTTTAAATTCTATTCTGGATTTTACTGGAAGCCAATGCAGAGAAGCTAAAACAGGAAATGTGATCTCTTTCCTGGTTCCTGTCAGAACACGTGCTGCAGCATTCTGGATCAGCTGAAGAGTCTTAATGGACTTTTTCGAGCAGCCTGATAATAAGGAATTGCAGTAATCCAGCCTAGAAGTAACAAATGCATGGACTAGTTTTTCTGCATCATTTTTAGACAGGATGTTCCTGATTTTCGCAATATTACGTAGGTGAAAAAAGGCGGTCCTTGAAATTTGCTTAATGTGAGACTTAAACGACATGTCCTGATCAAAGATAACTCCAAGATTCCTCACAGTGGTGCTGGAGGCCAAGGCGATGCCATCCAGGGAAACTATATCTTTAGATAATGCGTCACGGAGGTGCTTAGGCCCCAGAGTAATAACTTCAGTTTTATCTGAGTTTAACATGAGAAAATTACAGGTCATCCAGGTTTTAATTGGAAATTGGTACAATAGAAAAGCTTGGCTAGCTGGTTGCCGTATTTTGCTTCCCATGCTTGATTTTTAAAACAGCGAGAACGGATACAATATGGACTGTTACAGGAGTAAATGACAGATACATTTATCTGAGAAGATTAAGAAACATGAGTGTACAAGGGCACATATGGACAATATGGTGAAGCTTGCCATGCTAGACAGAGTAAACATCGCTACACAGCTGGACGAAGGCCACAGGATTGAAGAGGTGGAAAAGAACAGGCATGTTTATCAAAGATAATTGACAGTGTTAAATTCTGGGGGGCCTTTAAAACGGTCTTTGAGCTTGCCTTTTCTTTTCACGCCACTTTCTATGTTTATGTTCACTGTTTGTTTTTGTCTAAGACACTTTTTAATATATTTTCCACCTGCTGTCACTCTTCTTAACACCACGGCTGTGAGGGTGAAAGACCGAATATAACTGGAGGGTATTTATCTGTAACAGGGAACTGGACGACCACAAAGCTGCTCGCTCTGTTAAAACAAGATCAAGTGCAACAAAACAGACAAACATCAGTTAAAACAGACCACCTAATAGTGTGAAACCACAACAGCTTCACGCCACAGTTCACTGGAATCAACAGGTTGCTCCTGTGGTTTGATTTGCAGAAACACAAAAAAGATGCAGAAGACAATCAACCAAGTGTCTTTGGTCTGCTGAGTCCATCTTCTCTGTTATTTACATTGTTATTTATTAAGCACTTAATGTAATAATTATTTACATTAAAGCAAACAGATCAATAATGATGTTTGAGTAAAAGTTTAAATATATTTAGATATACTACATATGAGCAGAATGCAGAGAAATGTAAGCTCTAATGACTTATTATATTATCCCTTTGTCCTGCAACAGTCCTGCAGTGAAACATGTGCAGTGTTTTTATCAGAAACAGGAAACTGGACAAACACAGAGCTGTTAGCGTCTTTTAACAGATTCACTACAGGGTGCACAACAGACAGACTCCCATACAACACATATCCTTGAAGTCGAACCCATGCAACTTGAAGAGCTCATCTGACACCAACGGAGCATCTCCATCGAGGACATTTCCTTAATTCCTGCCCTGTTCAGCCGATTCAAGACCTTCTCAGAATGCAGATCCAAGCCACTGTCATGAATCAGAATCAGTTTTTACGCCAAATGGTTCACACATAGAAGGAATTTGCTTTGGGGAATTGGTGCATAACAATCAATATAAAATACATAAATAGGGAGATTTGTGCAGTGAGATAGTCCTGATGGGCCGTGGCCTCTTGTCAAAGGGGAGTGTCTGAAACAGTTTGTGTCTGGGGTGGGAGGGTCAGCCACAAGCTTTCTGTCTCACATCAGGCTGCATCCACACAATGCTTTTGTTTTAAAACAAAATCAATCTCAGTCCACGCCAGTGTTTTAGCTGAGAATCAGAATTCATCTCTGTCTATATTAAATCAACTGAAAACGCACGTGGCCATTCACGTACAGTGGGCATGCTTGTGCTGGTGTAAACAGGAAGTTAATCGTCTACAAAAGAAGAAAGTACCACAGATGAATGCAGAATAACAATGGTGGTTTTAAGGACAGACAACGATCTGGGACTTACTGAAATTGACACGGGAGTACAAAGTGACTATGGTAGCAGAAAACAGTCTGGGTACAAGTTCTAGTAGAGAACATGATTCTCAAAAATACCTAAACAAAAACACTGTCAGTAGCATTTCAGGTGTGCAGATCCGAACTTGTCACATATTGAGGCTTGGTCAAGGCCCTTTAGCGTCATTTGTCCATTTTAAGGCTCTGCGGTCAAGTTAGCAATGCTTAGCAACCATAAATATGCAACATCTGGTTAGACTAGCTAGCTAGCTTTAGTGTCAAATAACTACCATGTTACTTAAGCTTTATATGCTTTGTCACTTTTTTGGTATTGGATGCCCTACGATCTCAACTATGACGCTATAGCGATCCCTACTGTGTTACAAACTTTGACCATGCGTCCATATGTAACAAGTTGGGGATTGACAACGAGATGTTTCAGTCTGGACGGCTTGAAAGTAGCATTTTAAAACAAAAACATAGTAGTGTGGATAAATCCTCAGAGTGCTGGAGGTGTAGCGGTCCTGGAGGGTCTGTTGACATTAAGTCCAGTGGTCTCTGTTTTTTGGGGATGATAATGATGAATTTGTTTTCCTCCTGTTATTCAAAGCAACAGTAGAACTCATTTAGTTTGTCGGCCAGGCTAAAGTCCCCACCAGAGCACTGCGCTCCCAGAATGCAGGGTTACTTGTGGTTCCTAGAGTCTCCAAAAGTAGACTAGGAGCCAGAGCGTTCAGCTATCCCCAAATATGTATTTTTACATTTGTGTTGTGCAAAGTCATATCAATAGAAGCAGGGAGGGATTTGTACGTTTGTGGCTCGCTTCCAGTCAATTAATGGAATTTAGTGTTCTGTGGAAATCTGTAGAAAGAAATCCACAAGTCTGAGAATCAGTTCATTAGCTACACCAGCAGGTAGCGACAACGACATTCCCTCACGTGAGTTAACACGATATCAGCACTACCCAGCATCACCCTCATCTACAGAGACAACAAGGAGGAGGACTGTAGCCTGGTTTCAACCAGGATGTGAAAAATAACTGGAGAATCTTTATTTAACTCAACGATGGTGATTCAGGTTCATCATTATGACGTCCCCTTCTAACCTACCTGTGACCATCACAGCTAAATGCCTCGGCCCAACCCTTATTCTAAATGCAATGCAAATTCAATTCTAGCCTGAACTTTCAGAGAAGAAATAATTTACCTCTGCATCGTCTGATTCGCTGCCGTTGGCAATGTGATATTCTGATGGCACTGAATGTGATGTCCTCTGTGATGTCATTTCCTGCAGCTTCTTTTTCAGCAGCTGGAATGAACCAAAATGAACAGCAATATAATTTACATGTTAAATTTTCACTGGACATGGACATCATTACTTATACTTAAAAAATGTCAATATGGTAACATGTGTAGGCTACACACATCCATAAAATGGCAGTACATTAGTATGTTTGGTGCTTTTGTTTTATAGAGTCTACGAACAGTAAAGACGTAAAAATCAAAACTTTTTGTTCATGAAGTCATCCGTCTGTCACTAGGAAAAACACTGTGGGAATGTAACAGTGGGTCTGTAAATCATGATGATCTGGTAGATAGTAACATAGATAGATAGATCATTTTATCAGTGCGGCGCCTGTCACATCTGTCTGTGCTCAACACATGGCTTGTCTGATCCCATTCAAAAAGTCTTCTTTCAATATTAACGCGTGTTAAATCCATAAGTCTGTTTCTAACCTGGATGTTTCCTCTGAACACGCCATCAAGTACAAGCAGCAGAACCAGTAAAACCAGAACAAAGGACAGAGGAACAGACCACAGCATCACAGAGGGAGGAGGAGGAGCTGGTGATGAAGAAAGACAGGTGGACGTAGGAGGACGTGTAGTGGTGGGTTTCCCTAAAATGAACAGAAAATAATTATCAAAAGAACTTAAATGAAAAAATATAGAACAAAATCCTCCTTTTGGCCTTTTCCACTCAGTTGGGTGCAAAATTTGATATTTAAATATTTACCCATTTTGTTTAATGTATTTTCCAGGTTTGGCAGCTGATTTATATTTAATATTTAAAACTAAGTTCCAATATTAGTCTTGTTAACCTGCACATGTTCACGTTACACATGTTTAAAGGTAGAGGTGCAGTGTCATACTAACAGAAAGACACACAGAAGTGAATTCATAACTTCTGTCCAGTTTAGAAAACAAAACCAGGTCAGTTTGAGAATTATCTTTGAGCTCCTCATCTGTGACAGAGATCCAGCTGGATGGAGACTCTCCACGACCTCTGATGTTACACTTGTAGAGGCCTTCATCAGACTTGTTAACATGGTGGATGGTCATGTGACCTGTAGGCTCAGTCCTGATGAAGGAGCCATCTTTATAGAAACCAGCTGGGAGGTTGGAGGGAGGGGTCTCTGTTTTACAGTGCAGAACGACATCATGTCCCTCCATCACAGGGAGGACAGGACTCTGCAGGATCACTGGTCCACCTCAACACAGAGACAAACTACAGCATTTCATCATTTACACACAGCTTCATCAACACTAACTCCACAGTCTGATCTTACCAGTGACAGTGATGTTGATGGTGTTACTGGTTGCTCCCTCTCTGGACTCACACCAGTAAACTCCACTGTCCAATGGGAAATTGTGGGTGATGTAACAGGAAGAACCAGCTGATCTTCCCCAGCCAGCTCCACACTGAGTCCTGGTTTCTCTGCTTGTGTTCCTCCTCAGCGTCCATCCAGCAGAGCTGTCGTCCTCCTCACAGCTCAGAGAGACAAACTCTCCTTCAAACAGCTGAGAGCTGCTGGGACTCACAGTCAGAGAGGCTGGAGGGGATTTATTGTATTTTTAGTTAAATGACCAGACAGGCATCACAGTAAAACCTTAACGTCCACGCGTTGAGTTTAACAAACCTGTTTAACAAATGTTTCTGAACTTGTTGCCAAACTGGTGCTGAAGATTTAGATTTAGAAGTTCAGCTCTTGAAACACTTGACTGACATTTTAAATGTTGAAACGGACTTTGTTATTATTTATTTCTTGTTTCCAAACAGCCCAGTAGCTGCTTTATGAGGAAAGATTCACAAAAAATAGATGTGGTTTTCTTGTTAACTGATTTATGATGCTCTGTACTTTTTAATTTAAATGGGATCCAGTGGCAAAAAGGCTGCCACACATGCTGGAAATTATTTTTATAATTTCTATACATTTATATATATATAACAATATTTTGTGCCTCTAAATGAATAAATAGTTAATAGTTCTCTGGTTGTTTTTATAACAGAAATGTAATAGTTATGCTTTAAATCTGAGTCACATAAACTGTTTCTGAAGCTTTCAGTGCCCAGCACATGAGGCTGGTGCCTTTTTTGAGCCGTCAGGACCAGATAGCTAATAAACCTGCCAACCATTGTTAAATTTTAATTTGCAACCTTCTGCACATTTTAATTTTTAATTTTAAATATTATTATATTTTTAAGAATTTCATGAAACTTTTAACTGGATTCTTGGATCTGAAATCAAACATTAGTAAAGTGACAGATTACACAGTGTTTTCAGGCATTTGATTTATTTCATATCTGAAGACATGGGTCAGATCTTTTATTTTCAAAATAAAATCATCAAAACAGTCTTGATGCTGTTGCATCCTGGTCAACTGGTCCTTTGTTTTTGGTAGTTTCACTTAAGCCTGTTTTTGTCAGTGGTTGTTAATAATCTTGTTCATTTGTAAATGTTCATTTAAGTTTTTGTATGTTAAAACTTCTTGTTAAAGTATCTAATAATTTATGTTCAGTCTTTATGGAACATACATTTTGTATTACTTTTAACAGAAAGAGCTTCTGACTGTCAGAGTTGACTCACCTCCGCCGGTCCTGCAGCTCAGCAGAGTGATCAGCACTGAAGAGAAACCAGACTCAGATTGGTTTGACATTTAACATAAAACCAGACCAGACATGAGAAACTTTGAGTTCTGCTGCTCACTGCAATATTTTCTAACCTTAAATAATTTAAAATATGTATATTATTGAGGATATTAAATGTCTCAGCAGTATTATGTACAAGAATACATTTCCTGTAGAACAAAAATTTATTAATGCTGTGTTCTGTTAATCTCTTTTCTCAAAGGCTTAATTATTAAAGTAACTTTTTAAAGATGTGATTTTCTGTCTGTCTGTCTTAAAAAACACAAACATTAACTAACGGTACAAGAAGTGACTGTGACATGTCTGTAGCATAATAAAGTTTGTTGCACCAGCTGCAGTGTCTAAATTATTTTCATTGAGTGTCATTGTCGTTGAGTTTTGTCTTTTTTCAGGTAAATTCTAAAGTGACGTCGTTTTTCATCAGATTGTACTTACAGAGCAGAAAAGCTGTCTGTCCCATCGCTCCTCCACTCAGTCAGTCCAGTTAATCTCTTCCTCTCTGTAGGTGAGAGCAGTGACTGTGTAGAAGCTCATCTGGTTTTGCTTCTTCACTCAGAGCTCATCAGGAGACACGGGGCCCTACACAAAGAGTTTAATCACATGCAGGAAGTGACAGCGCTGCAGGCTGAACATGAAGGAGGGCTGATCTGAGATCACTGAGAGACAGATTCATTAGGAACAAGGAGGTAAAGTTCCTCATTGGAGTTTCTCTCCACTCTGTAAATATCTGTGTGATGAAGATTTCACTTTCCAAAAACCTTTTGTAGAAGTTTAGATCAAACTTTCCTGGGTCCGACGGTTTTTTAGGGATTGGCCATGTTCTGTGGTGAAGCCTTGATTTTTGATGCATAGTCATAGTAAGGTCAGACAACCTGCATGTTTTTAAATTATTATTTGTTTAGATTTTATAGCCTGTTGTGAGGAGCAGCAGCCTCTGATGATCAATAATGTATTTTTACTGTGGTGGTGATAAAAGCTTAAACGCCGTGGCATGCTAAGTGTTTTATATCTATGGATTCTTTTATAGGCTGATTTTAGAGCTTATATCGAGCATCAACTCATTATTGTCAAA